GGGGAGGGGCAGAGAGAGAGGGAGACACAGAATCCACAGCAGGCTCCAGGCTTTGAGCTGTCAGCACAGACCCTGACATGGGGCTTGAACTCACAAACCCTGAGATCAGGACGTGAGCCGAAGTCAGACGCTCAACTGACTGAGCCACCTAGGTGCCCTATCAACTGACCTTTTTACAACTTTTCTGGAAACTGTAAATATTATTGTTTAATTGTGTTCTTGCTTACTGTGAATTGATGATTCCAACTGTTCGCTATTACAAACAACACAGAATAGGAACCTGGCTGAATTTAGTTTAAAAACTAACACAAACAGAAACACCCGAGAAAAAACTGAAAAGGCTTCAGATGATACTAATTTCAGGTTAAGGTTATTTCCCTCGGATTGTCGTTGTGAACGCAACTAAATTGCTGGGGTTAATTTTGCTCTCCCTAAGTTTTCTCCTGGGAGCCGCAGAGGATCCAAGGGCACATTCTAACCCAGTGACAGAGAATCTGCTCCTCAAACACAGCCACAAAGCCAGCTGCACGTTGTCAGTGAGAGAGAGAGAGAGAGAGAGAGCCGTGGGCGGCCGCCCCCTCCAGGGCAAGACCAGGCCTGCCTGGGAGCAGAAGCATGAAGTCCTGGAAATTCACGGGGCTCACGAGCCGTGGTAATAAAATATCCCTTAGGAACAGCCTGTTAGCTGTTCCACGGTGTTCTCAGTGGGTGTGCCTCTCACCAGAGCCGGAATTTTCCAAAAGGCCTCTGTGTTGGTGCCATTTTGTGGAAATCTAGGGAGAGCCAAGGTTTTGCTGAAGATGGTTGGGAGGGCTGAGTAGGCGGGTTGTGTTGGCAAAGGAGGTGCTGCCCCCTAGTGGCCCCTGTGGGGATGGCCGGGTCTGTGCCCCAGGGAACCTCCGAGATCTACCCTTCCCATTTCTCACATTGGTAAACTGAGGTACACAGGACCCATAAAGGTCTTGTGGTAAGTTACAGGCGTATCGGCAACAAAGAGCACAGCGCATGTCCCGGAGCTGCTGTTCTTTCTCTCACAGGAAGGTGGGGATTGCATGGGCCGAGGTCCCTCCTGCCTCCACGGCCTGCTTTTTGAATCGCTTGCTTGCTTGCTTTTGAGAAAGAGAGACCAGGAGCAGGGGAAAGGCAGGGAGAGGGAGAGAAGGAGAATCCAAGCCGACTCCGCACTGTCGTGGAGCTCGATGCGGGGCTCGAACCCACAAACCGCGAGATCATGACCTGAGCCAGAGTCGGACGCTTAACCGACTGAGCCTCCCAGACGCCCCTTCAAGATTTTATTTTTAAGTCATCTCTGCACCCAACGTGTGGCTTGAATCCACAGCCCTGAGATCGTGGATCGCACAATCTACCAACTGAGCCAGCCCAGAGCCCCCGAGGCACATCTTTCTCAGAAGCCGACATAGACGGGCAGAGCCTTGGCCTGGGAAAGAAACAATACCGGATGGGACCCTTAGCCGTGTCAAGAACAGAAGTCCCCACGTTCATGGAGGGGGCTCTGAGGCAGTGTCCCGCTGCCCGCACGCAAGAACGAGGGTGCTGTATGCTCAGTTCCCCCTGCGTCCTGCCCCCGTGGTATCCCCTCCCATAATACAGTCTCGGTGCCCATACGATGCACATCGAAGAACAAGGAACAGAGCCACGGGGACGTTAAGTGACCTGTTCCAGGTGCCTTGGATACGAAACAGCAAAGCAAGATCTAGAACCTAGGTCTCCTGTTTCTCAGGCCAGTGATCCCTCTACTATATTGCCCGCTTGAGCGGACTTCGGAGGGCTCCTGTCAGAAGTTCACCCGTCCCTCTCGGAGAGCAAAGCACTCAGACCCTTCCCTGCCCACCAGTCTGTGCAGGTTCAGAACCTGAAAATCTTTCATTTTGAGGCTCCCATCAGGATAACGGGAACAATGGTGAAGACGTTATTCATCAGTGGGGTTCCCTTCCCTCAAGGACATGGCTTAGGGACGGCCTCTGGGGACAGAGGGTGGCTGAGATGGCAGGATCTCTTAGACATAAAAACCACCACACCTGAACGGCAAAGTGGGCGTAATGTCTGACCCGCCCTCCCGGAGGTGCCCAGCAGGTGTCTAGGACGGGACCTGCCAGAGCACACGGAAAGGTGTCTGCCCCCCACACATGGTGCATTTAATCTTCTCAACAATCCTGCGAGGTAGATACAAATACTATGATCCTATTCCTCAGTTTGGAAGATGGGACGGGCAAGTAACTTAGCAGGATTCAAAGCTATGCTGTCTGGCCCCAGAGCCCACGCTGGAATGTGCTGTCTTTGGAGGTGATGAACTGCCTGTCAATGAAGGCATTCAACCAGAGTCTTGACAATAGTAGGACAGATGAACAAGGAATTCCCACGAGGGACAGACCAAGAGATAAAGTCCCTTTCAGTGTTGAAATCCATGATCTTAGGAACAGGCGGGCGAGGCTAAAGCAAACCTCTCCTGAGTGGGCTCGTGAAAATATCCCCCTGTGTTCACACGGGACTCGCCAGGCAATTAACTGACATGCAGGCTGGTTTTCTAGAGACTGGCCACCAAGTAGGCAGTGGGGGCCTGCCTGGGGGACCCTGGCCCCATAACTGGGGGACTGCTCTTCAGAGCCCAAACCTCGCTGGCCGTGCAGTCAGCCAGCCCCGAGGCCTCTCCTCCAGCCCTTCCAGATGCCCAAGAGCCGTGCTAGCCTCAGGGAAGCTCAGGGCAGCGATGAGACCGTCACCGAGGTCCCAAGATCTGCGACTGTGGAGGTTCAGGCGAGGCAGTGGCCGCCAAGCCTGGGCTTCTGGAACAGCCCAGTCACTCTCGGTGAAGTTCAGAACAGCACAGTCCAAATTGCAAAGAAGCCTGGATGACGGATAATTACATAGTGCATAATTCAGCATAATTACAATATGCTGAATGTTTTCTTCATTCAAGCACACAACATATGGCAGGTTGTTAATCAGGTACTTAGAGCAAGAGGTCTTATGGTCCTGCGTCAATAAATAATTAATTTTGGGGCGCCTGGGTGGCTCCATCGATTGAGCGTCCAACTTTGGCTCAGGTCACGATCTCAGAGTTCATGAGTTGGAGCCCCGTGTCAGGCTCTGTGCCGACAGCTCAGAGCCGGGAGCCTGCTTCGGATTCTGTGTCTCCGTCTCTCTCTGTCCCTTCCCTGCTCACCCTCTGTCTCTCTCAAAAATAAATACATATTTAAAAAAGTTTTAAAAAAAGAATTAATTTTTAATCGGCAGTGTTTTCTTTTACGTATGCAAACTGAATAGCTAGGTTTTTTTTTAAGTGTTAGCTTTCCTTAGAGGGCTTTCCACTCTTTCCTGCAAATGGCCAAC